TGATGCATCAAGAAATATACTGGGTATTTTAAGTACCCTTTTAACCCACTGGCTGGATGGGGCAGGGAGGGGGAGGCAAAGGGGTCAAAATAGAAGCTGCCTAACAACAAAATCTGTGAGCTCTGACCTTTTGTCTGAAGATGAAAGCTGAGTTAGAGGATTTTTCTATAGATGTCATTAAGGCAGCTTTTAAAGCTATCTTTCTTGAACTCTCTGTTGCACTTCAGTATTGTAAACAACCGCCGGAGGGAGAGTTAAGTGAGTGGAAGTCCAAAAAAGTAAGAAGCGTTTTCAGCAGTGGAGAACATTGATCGTAGTGAGAAACCATTTATGCCCCAAAGGGCCATCAGCTGTCACTATTTCCCTGGCTCCGGAGCCATATTTAGGTGCCTAATAGGAGTTAATTAACATATTCATTAATAGGTGGGTGGAGCCGTGTCAATCTCTACAGATAGGGAACAATGACATCAAAATAGACTAAAAATAATTTGAAACTGTCCAAGCTCACAATTGATAGCAAACACAAAAAATGCAGCATCATAGCAGAAAACTGGCATAAAATCTATTCCATTCGGTGTGCTTCCAATGAGTGGCCAGAAACAAGTATGTAGCATTACCTGACATGGTCAGTTAATGAATAATTGGTGCATAAGAATAACAGCTAATCAATGAAAGGCTTATTCCATTTTGAACTCACAGTCCCCTGAACAGTTTAAATCTTATCTAAGGCAGTTCTGGATGATCTTTATCTCCTCAGAAGCATTTGTAGATAGCTCGTGGCAGTGCCTTCCACAGGCTTAATATGCATTATATAACACTGCGTCACTTGAATCAACTTCAGGTTTCCTGCGTTCAATCTTTCCCTCATTTGATTAGAAAAAAAATGAATAGTTCCAATTCACAATTTCATATGATTCATTAATTCATCATCAAAAAGAAGAAATTTAGTTGTAGACATGGCCTAAATTCAGAGAGATTCCAAGTACTTGGCTCAGAGATAGATCCACCTCTTCCCTTCTACTGAGCTCCCAATTGACTGATACTGCCTCAAGGAATGGCAGGTTTTACTAGATCATTTTGTTACAGCACATACTGCATAATTTCATCGTTTAGGTCCACTGTTAGGATGAGCACTTAAAAAAAAAAAGAATTCAGCCCAAACCCAGCAATTAAAACAGAAAAGCTGCCAGCATCAGACATTGTGAAGGAGCAGTGCAAAGGAAAAGAGAGAGAAAATGGGTCCAAAGTGAGATCTTAGCAAGTGGGAATGAAATCTCACTTGCTGGCATGCACTTCAGTAAACAGGTTGCATACTATACTCTGCTTCCCCACCACACTCCAATTCAAACACAGCTCACATACGGAGTGTGAATGTTCTTGCTCAAATCCCATAAGGTTTTTATTTCCTTTGCTTATTGACAAAACAGTAAAAACACTATGTTGAACAATTCTGCTACAAGAAAACAGCAGTTTGTCAGAACGACCGAATAAGGCATCCGTCAATGGAAAAACCCACAACGTTATTAGGCAGTGGAATGCAACAGAGAGACTTCATTATATGGATACTGAGAGATTGCATTATTTTCTCTTAAAAGGTAGCATTTATACAAGTTATACAGTGTTACAGGCACACGAAAATTACTTGAAAAGGGAGCAGAGAATGATGTTGAGAGGTTAAGTGGGGTGTTCCCCTTTATCTCCTCAGACAATACAAAGCAAGTTGATACTCAAGGAAACAGAAAGGCAGTGAATTTACCAACAACAAAAGAAATTTTTTTATTCAGTGCATGATAAATAAGCTAGGAAACCTGCAGTTTTGAGACATTATTAAAGCCAAGAACTTATCAAGATTCAAAATGAGATTTTTGTGTATGCACACAATAGGAAAACTGGCAGTGGCTCAGAGAGGTAGGTTCTTTTGAAAATTTCTGATGAGACCTAGAAGCTGAAGTTCTACCTTCAAAACTGATTTAAGCACACAGCAATTACACCTGCATGAATAAACCCCGCTTCTGTAATTGATTTCATAATTCAAGAACTGCTCTGGTGCTAAGAGCCTCTTAACTCAAACCTACCCTACTCGTCTGGCCTCTCAGGGTGGCAAACCCAGCTAGCATTCACCTGTCTGCTCCTGGGTTCTGTGAAGACATAATTTGTGGTGCCCATACCTGTTGCAACCTGGGGGGGGGGGGCATGACTGAAGTGGTTATTCACTGGTAAATTCTCCAAGATACAAGTCCAAGTCTCCTTTAGAGGTCAGGAAAAAACTGGTTAAAGGCAGAACTCAGTTTCCAAGATGCACTGGCGATAGGCTCTGCATGTAGGAAGGGCTTTAAAGGCCATTCTGGATTCTTGCTTTCATTTTTAAACTGCTTTGACAGAAAAGAGCAAAACACTACCATGCACAAAATTACCACAAAGCGAGATGGGACCTGAATTAGGCAGGGAATTCAGCAAGTAGCAAATTGATCCATGAATGCAGCTTGGATTATTCCTAAGTATATGCAAACGTATGCTGAGCTCACCCACTAGTTTCATCTGGCAATGGGTATCCTATTTCAGTAAACTATTCACAAAACTGTTACTTACAATTACCTCATTTATAAAATACCCAAGCAATCAGGATAATTCATTTTTCTGCCTAAGGACAACAGACTCCTTATTTGGGAGCATCCCTTTGCCGCTGTGCTACCAGCTGTTGCCACTGTGCTGGGCCACCCTCAAACTCTCTTCACTTTGCACAAATTCGCATTCACTAGCAGGGGAACACAGGAGCTTCCCCTTGCAGAGAAGAGCCCTAACCATCAGGTTGGTTTCGTCTCTCAACAGTTCAATTTTCTGCTTCTGATGTAATAGCAGAACCTGGAGCTCTAGTGAAACCTTTTGTTTTAGCTGCTCGTAAACATTTAACAGCTTCTCGGGCTAGAGGGCAAACAGAGAATGACAGCTCAGCCAGCGGACAGAGTATGTGCATTTAAGTTCCTATTTTTGCTCCACTAAAGGTGGTTTATGCAAATTTGAAAAAGATAATGAACGTACCACTTCATCTAGCAGTGCCTAATAGCATGGTAGAATAGGTAAAAAGGTAAGAATTCAAAGCCTTTTAGATAGAATCGAGGAAAATCTGAAATTCAGTCTGTGATGAGATCCTGATTTGGAAAAAAGCTTTGAGGTGGATATGCCCAGGTCTTCTCTGGCAGCAAGATCCCCAACAAAGCCAAAAAGAATTTCAACTGAAAAAAAAGGGCGTATTTTTTGAGATTAGAAACTACAGAAGACTTTTAAACAGAGAAAATTCAAAGCAACATATATATCTCCCCACAGCCAGCCTATCGTGCACATAAATGCAGGTCCTTGGTTATGCTTAATGCTGGGACTTGCACTTTTCCAGGCCTAGGATTGGAGCTCATTGTGAGACAATACTGTTAAGGTCACTGCTTGCCTGAATCTGTACCATGTAGTTAGGGTCAAACAAAACATGTCCATCTGCTGTTGCTGCAGCAATGGGTATGTGTTTCTTTGCAATTGGCCATAAAAGAACTTATTTTCCTATTACAGAGCCTTTCATCCAGAAACAGGAAGTGGTTTCTTGCTGTAACCACTGATTCCCTCTGAAACGTCAACCAGGTCAAAAAGGGAAGTGTTTAAGGATAGTAACAAGCAAGTTTCTCCCCCTCATCTATTTCTTGAATAACTGTACCATAATTTTCACCTAGGGAAAGGAAATTACCTTTGCTCCTCCATCCTCACTGCAGTATGTTCACGGTCATACAGAAACGGCCATGAATGCTGATGGCCATGTGTCATTGGTTCTTCCATCATGCAGTTTACAGAGACAAAAAATCAACTTCAAAAAAAGATAGAAGTATCAGTAAGATGACAGAGATGCTTCTCTAAGAGCATTAGTTCAGGATCACCTTCTTATCACTAAAAAGACAGTTGTCAGAACATTTACACAAAGAGTTAGTCCACACAGCTAATGTGCTATCAGTTTCCACCTGAGCAACATGCACACTAGTTTTTTTATGTAGACAACACCACTGCAAAGACAATTGTCTGACCATCCCTTGAACAACCAGAAAAAATGAAGTTTATTCACCCAAATAAGTCGCCACTGGCTCTACTAAAGTTAAAACTGAGACTTATCTCTTTGTGCTGAGATTATGCTGGGAGCCTTTTCTCTGTGTAAGTGACTACAGAAAACAGATTAACTCTACTTTATGCACATCCCCATGCTGCTAATGGTTTTGATCAATTAATGTTCATGCATTGTTTTGAGGATATTCATACTCTCCTGAAAGCTTGTATCCATCTCTCTTGGCAGACTATTTTCATCACTGAGATCCCTTCAAAATAGCTATACAACATTCAATGCAAAAAGGCTAGAGAAAAGTGATTATCTGCTGAGTATACATATAAGGACAGTAAGTGTTTAGAGATAGGTACTTTATGAGACAGATCCTGTTTGCTGCTCAGAATTATAAAAACGTTTTGGCAAAATATGGAGATTTGCCAAAAAGGGTAGCAGCAATACTGTATTGTCTGGCAGTTTTATAATTTGCCTTGCCCCTAAGCCTTCCCCACCCTCAAAACATGCTTGCCTTGACTGAATAACCTCTCATCTGCATTTATATTCTTGTATCTTTATCTATTATGCATTACGTGCACATGAAGCCAAGTCTCTGATCATACGCTATTTAGAGTACACAAAACTTCCCTGAAGGGTTTCCATTTAGAGAAAGAAGCAGATTATCATAAGTCTCATGCAGTGGTGAAAAAGACAAAAGGCTCAGCTATTTCCACTGCAGAGTATCAATGTCATTCATGTGTCCCTATTTTAATATATTTGAGTATAGCAGCAGTCCTCCACGAAGAACTGGGAACAGATTTCTGAGAACATCAGGTAGGAAATAGCTTTTGTTCTCTCTCCTGCTGTTGTCCAATTTATACAGCAAAGAACTTCAGACCAAAAATTTACAATAGTCTGTTATTCAACTCACCTGCAGTACTACAATTAGTGACTTCAGAATGTTACATGCTGCCTTTCATTTTCAGCATGCTTGGTCTGCACCGAGGGATAAAAAAGGGCAATGTAATCAAACAATACAGTAATAATTGTACAGAACAAAACAAAGGGGAGAAAAGCAACTAAAGGGAAAAATGTAAAAAAACCACATTTTTTCCGTGTAAACTCATGCTGCTTTCCAATTTCCCTCAGAACAGAACAACAAATTGCAACAAAACACAGGTAACAGAGTCATGCCAAAGCACTTATGACTGGGTTTTGGCAAGGGACGGGCAGCAGAAGGGAAATGTGTGTGGGAGAGAGTTTCTGAATGCTGCTGTGTCTTACCCTTTGACAATTAATGCTGGGTCATCTGTGGGAATGCGCTTGCATGTTGGGTTCTCCCTATGGACTAGACACATCACTCCAAGGGGATTTTGTTCCAGTGAGAACAAGACTTAGACCAAGTACCTCTGTACATAGCCACTCTTGAGACTGCAGGGTTGACATTCATTCCTCTGGGACTCCATTAGTAACCCTGGAGTGACACCAAAGATATTTCTTATGAAAAAAAAAAAAAAGTTAACTGGTTTGCCTTTATACCCATAAAAGACATACCACAATAGTTTTCTATTCTGCATTTTCATTGGGTGCTGCTTTCTTTTCTTCAAGGAGCTTGCTTCCATTTAGACATAATGTGTCAAACTGATCTACTCCTATCACTGATTCGTAAGATGATGTGTAAATAAGTATTCCTTACTGACCTCTCTCGGCCAGCCTCTTACCAAAAGAGGTTACCAGACATGCCTCATTCAAGTGCTGACATTAAAGCAAGCTTGTTAGTCCAACTGACAGGGATAAAATCTCTGCCTCACAACAACTTCCAAGTCTGTGACCATCTTTGCTAGTCATTCCACCGGAGGTCAAAGGCTGATGACACCAGACTAGGACTGTTCAGATAGTAAAAAGCTGGCCCAGTATAAATTTGCAGATAGGATGAACTAAAGTAAACAAAAGACTGAACTGTCTTCTGACCCTCTAGTTGATTCCTTCCCAGTTAAAGAGAAGCACTTATGTCCATGTAAAGAGTCAGGAGAACTAAAGTGTTCAGCTAAAGGTCCTGTGCCCTCATATTTACGAAAGAGCAAATGGTTTGTGTCTTTTCTCAACACCGACAAAGGGAAAGAGCAAATAGAAGCCTTATTTTTCCCACCCCCATTGAAATGTCTTGTCCTTTACTGAGATCATGGGTATAAGCAAAGAAGAGGAGAGAGGCCTGTGCAAAGGCAGTTACTCACTTCTGCTGTTTCACCAGCCTTGTCCCAATAAGGTACAAGTCCCCTAAGGCTGGAGAGTACATTTTGTCATCTCAGCTTGTGCAGAGAGTGCAGCCATAATAATTGGTCTGTATATGTACATGTGCCAAGGGATGGGGCTAAGTATGTTCTTACAGGCAAGTAGGAAAGAAAAAAAAGGTACTTTGAGAGGTTATGGGGCAGTGCTGAGTGCTGCAATCACATACGTTATGATTGGTCATCAGCAACACAGACAATTGGATTTGCTGTAATGTCAAGTGACACTAGCTCCTAGTGCTTTGCAAACAAAAAGGTCTGTGACTCTCTTTAGCATACTGGCCATGGTTCACTTTCTGCAATGAAACAGGGAGTTTCCATGACTACTACTTTCCCATTAGGCCCAAAATTTAATTGCTTAATTCTGGCTGCCAGGTACTCCTTACAATATCATCCACATCGAAGTCCACTTGCCTTTGCTTCTCTCCAGTCACTCTTCCATCAGGAGGAAATGAAACCTTAGGACAACCACAAGCACTCCTGTAGTATGCTAGAAAGACAGTCTTGTTGCTCACTGATTTCATGGCTTCTCCATGGCCTGGAAGGAAAGGTAGAGCAGGATGCTCTGACCTATGGAAAGTATCCCTGCCGTTGGGTCCTTGCCTGCCTCTATCACTGAGGTGACAGAGAAGGACATCTGGGTCTTAGATCCTTATCCCTGACTGCAGTCATAGGTGATGAGAGGCTTGCTGTTTGCAACCCTGCCAAAGGACTTCTACAGCTGCAGGAAACATTCGATGTGCCTTTTGAGATGGCCCAGCAGGTCAGGTCTGTCTCTCTAATGTACACAGCTTTTGATATTTTTAGAAGTTTAAACTAGCATCATGTAGCAGCTGGCACAAACCCAGCCTCTTCTAGTTTTGCTGTTATCTGCTCATATTTCTACTATGAGATTCTCCCAGTAGTAAAGCCACAGAACAGGGCACAGTCATCACAAATACATGAAGACCTTTGTCCTCACTAAGCCCTGCCTGCACCCCTCTGTGCTGATACTTTGCACACTAAGCATGTATTTCTAGAGCATTGCCTCGGTTGTGTGGCTTGGAGATGTCAGTCCTGTTAAGATACTTTGGGAGACATTTTTTAATGGCTGGGAAGTAGAACCTCGGTGTGGGGTAAAGGGTGTGCTGGTAGAATAGCACCAGAAAACTCTACTTTGGAAGCGTTTGTTTCCATCTCCAGAGACTATCTAGGCACCTGTATGAAGAGGTGACCAAAATGAGAGGCTGCAAATAACCTCACTGTCTCTGTGCTGAAGAATATGAGTCAGGACAATTTATCCTAAAACTTATCCAGAAACAATTTCTCCATTTTCTTCTCCCCGTTTTCCTTTATTCTACTTCTCATCACACCCCTGTGAAATGGAGGGTTTCCCAACATTTCAGACAGAGAAATCATAAAAGATTACTCATGAATCATGTGAATTCCCTTAATTCTTCCAAACTATGGTATAGTTGGGAAGAGAATCCTGACATTTGGCCTTCAGATCTCATACCTTAAACATACAAAAAAATTTTTTCTCCTTCTTTAAAAAAGCAGGGGCAGAAAAAACATCAGAGATCCAATTCTCTGCTGCACAGCTGTACAAGAGGGGACTATCAAGTAACTGGTCTAGAATAGTCAGTGTGAAACGGTGGAAAAGGAAACACCTGGTACCTAATGAGATGTTACAAGCTTGTATTTGCAGTGAAAGTACACAAATTCAAGAGGAAAATGGACTCACGCAGCCTGAAGCCAGGAAAATCCAATGAGCGACGGATTGATCTTTAGGCCTTCGACATCAATAGGACTATTCATGCACTTAAATGCTACATGTGTATTTTAGCACCTGGCTGAATTAAAGCCTCAGATAGCAAATCAGGAGATGGCTGCTTGTTTTCAGCCTGCAGAAAAGCCAACCCTTTTTGAGAACTGCACTCATTACCCTAGTTTATAATCTCCTTAATATCAAAAGTTCCACAAAGATACATTTTGTTCCCTAGAGCTCCTCAGCTAAACATATGGACTGCTTGCTTACACCTACTACAGAAGGCTGAGTATTGAGGATTTATATATTTTAGTCTATGTGGTGTAAATATGTATAAATTTATATTGTGTTAATTTATGGCATACACTACAGAAGGTTTTGCGTGAGCTACATTGCATTCCTTCCCACGTTTGTGCTGAAATATTCATCTTCGGGTCTTTTTCTCCATGTTTTCCTTAGTCTCGCCACAGATGTTTGGGCAGCTTGCGTTAGAAGGGAGTGTGCCTTAGAAGTACATTTAGGAATTTAGGTGATGAGAATATCAAACTCAACTGTGTGGCTACAGCCTGGCGGGATTAACAGGCTTGGTGAACACTCACCAGTGTCTCAGACCTGCCTTCTGATACCCAGGCAAGCATCGCATCATAGGTTGTGAATTATCACCACCAAGACAGACACCCAGCGCACAGAGAACTTCTGTCTCCGGGACTGCCAAACAAGTGCCTGACAAACATTGCGTTCACACCCAAAACACGGATACATAAAGCTGCTGTGCCAAAAGGAGGACTGATTCGCGCGAGAACAGGCACCTGTGTATCAACAAACTGCACTCAGCATCAGCACCAGCAGTCCCTCCCATCTGCATGCACGCAGCTCTCCAGAATGAAAATGCACTAATGTGCCCCAATCACTTTGAAATTGATAGGACTCTTGCTCTTGGATCAACAAGAGCAAGGTCAAGCCATCGGGCCAAAACACGGCCCTTATCTCCCCCTGAGCCCTTATCGCAATTCTATCAACACAGTCTTTGTGTACAAGGACTGGCGGTAACCCAGGAGTCCCAGTGCCAAATCGTGGCAGCATTAAGACCTGCTGCCTGCCCTAATGTCCAGCAAGAGATACGAAGACATACAGAACACTTAATTAAGGCATGACCTAATCAACAACAGTGGGGCCCAACACACTGTTTAATTGCTTAACATTCCTGTTCTACATCAACACATTGCATTTTACTGACTTACTGGAATATGAAAATGCACGACTACATAAATAGTACCAGAGGGAGTTACCTGAATAAATAAATCATATCCAGCTAAATAAATCTCTCAGCTTTCACAGAGTCCCAAATGCAACACTTAGCACTAAGAGAGAGGAACGAGTAAGAGGATGCGTCTGCAAGCTGTGAACTATGTTACATTTTTGACCCTTCCTCCCATTCATTGTCCAGAAGTATTTCTATGTTCTGTGTTTATGGCAGCATACTGCAAGATCTGGGTTCAAAGTCCAGTGCTACTTCAGATTCTCTAGCTAATTCTGGAAAAGTCACTTTCTCCTTTGAGGCCCTCTGGGAAGGACACAATTACAGACATTTTTCTCCAGTCCTCTTTGCTTTTCTTGTCTATCTAGGATCAGGGACAGGTTTTAAAAGCTGCAACCAGTGCTCTTGAAAATCCCATCAGTCACTTCATTTTGCCCTTGAGAACAACAGCAAATATCTCCTATCCCCAAGTGCCCACAGATCCTCACCAGATCTGTCCCTGTGCTCTGGGATGGTGAGTGCCCACCAGTGTGTGGTGTTACCTAATACAGGAGTGCTGGTATTTCACAGGGCAATGTTAGAAGAATAAAACATACAGTGTTAAATAGACACAGATTTCAGTAGTGTTTAATTTAGTTTTTCTGGATAGCTTTTCCATAACTACTACTACAGCTACACTACACAATAGCAGATGCATAAAAAAAGCTG